TGTCTGTGTCTGTGTCTGTGTCTGTGTCTGTGTGTGTATGTTGCTCTTGTTTCACCTCTAGATGTCTCTGTGTGTCAGGATCAAGATTCAGCAAATTGAAGCATGCAAGCAGGAACTAAACTGAATATAATTTTGAAGAATAAAAAAAGAACAGTATATAGAACAGTATCTGATCAGAATTTAGAGATAGAACTGTTTTTTAATCAATTTGTAATATGTTAAAAATCAACATTTGTTAAATCATATGAGGGTTTCTGCAAGTCTTAAAAAATGTCTTAAAAGTCTTAATTTGCGCTATCACAAATTTAGGCCTTAAAACGTCTTAAATCAGAGCAGAAAGTGTTCATGAAGTCATGGCATTAAATTTTGCATGCATTGCAAAAATAAACTTTTAGTTTTGTTTTCCAATGCAAATATCTAAACATCTTTAAGATAGATTTACTTGAGATGCAAAATAACGATGTGAAGTCTTGTTTTCTGAGGAACTGAACAAAATTAAATGAGTTAAATGAGAGGCTATAAATAAGCACATTTGTAAATGTCAAACCTGTTTTCTCTTTGAATTAAGTTGATTTTTCCGAGCCTACTGGCATATAATTGTTTTTGTTTTAATCTTGTTTTGTTTTAAACTTGCATCATTTTGATCAGTTTCCCATAAAAATGTCTTCTCTTGTGTCATTGTGCTTCTCAAGTTAATGTATTTTCAAGAATCTTTGGACATTTGCACTGGAAAACACGACAAAGATACTGATAAAGTATATCCCTTTTTGCGGGGTGATCAGAAGTTTTAAAGTTGAAGTAATGGGGATCTATTGAATTAAACTTTGAATTGTTGATAATACAAGATATTTACAATTAGAGACCATGCTGACGTACTGTTCCATTCAGTTTAATTTTACCTTCATGAAACCTGCAGAAATTCTGTCAGATGTTGTCCCTAAGCAAAATGACGAAGTGCTGCTTTAAGAGTCTGTGGGACTTTTTCCATGTTCAACATAGTTTCCATGTTGGAAGAATCAGCTCAAAGCTGTTGAAGGTTTGGATGTTTTGGTGTGTCAGATGTGGGCGGGCTGAGAGTGCAAATGTCTCGCCCAGTGGGAGGATCAGCTCCGTGTGATGTGTTTCATGGGAAAAACTGCAGTAACGCCACTGTGTGTCTCACAGACAGACTTTACACACTGTACAGGACCAGATCAGCTGGATGCTTCAACACCACGGTAAGATCTCAACTACTTACTGTAGAACAGAAAAATAGCAGAATTATTCAGTTTTACAAGCTGAATAATAATATTATGATAATATTACCATGTTTATAGGGATCTCTTGCTATTGTTTCCTGATCTATTATTTTCAGTGGAGACTCTGAGATGTGTTTGGTGTATTTGATGTATTTACAGATGAACAAGTTCAGTGTATTTATATATAATTTATTAATAATATGTATTAATATTTATTAGTTAATACTAATGATTATTTTAATTTTTGTTATATTTTGTTATTGTAGATTTAAATTTGTTTTTTTGTTTTTTATTATACATATTTAAACTTACAGTCAAACTTACATATTCACTAGTACTTTTCACAAGTAGTTAATTCATTTAAATAGTATATATGTGTAATGGACTATATACAATCTCTGACTCCTGGTTTGAAAAGCTTGTGTTGAAGCAGATTTCGTACTGTTCAGTTCCACTACTTTTGAAATAGGCTCAAAGTTGTACAGTTTACATTTTCTATAAAACAAAGACAGTTTCAGTGGACTGTGTGTGTGTGTGTGTGTGTGTGTGT